TAACGATACTTCTCCAAAAATTGTGTATATCTGCTATTCCCATACCACCACGCCTATTCCCTAGAGCTATCGTGCTGCACACATAACCGCCGCCTAAATGGCGAGCGAAGTTAGTATCTCGAAATACGATTATTGCCTGAAAGTGTAAAATATTTTTTCTTGAGTGAGCCTTGTAAGGTGAATTAAACCAGGTCGGTTGTGTGTGTTCAGATATTGCGGCTGACATTGGCGTTTTTATAAATAAATAAAAAAATTAATTGTTTCATTCTACGCTCACACAGGTTCACTCATGTTTATACTTAATAAAATTGCTCACGGAATGGGAAAAAAGTGTTAGTGAACAGGGAACAAACACCATCGAATTGGGGTGACAAATACAAAAAATATAGTGCTTTGATCAGTTCAGTTCAGTTTATCGAGGTAAGTAGGCACCAGCATAGTTATCAAAGATAGAATATATGTTGCTAATGGAAGGGTGTTTATACTTCCACACAGTAGGAGAGGTTATACAGGGCTAATAAAAGTTCGTCATAGGAGTAGATACTCTAAACCGAATAAGATTACTTTCCGTAGAGGGAATCATATTATTTTGGGATTGCACCATAAGCTACAATCAAAGTGACTACATCAAAATAACAAACCGCAGTTTAACGAAGGTTGTTTATAGTTTATACCGGGGGGGTACCTTGAAGGCTGTGAGCACCAAAGCGTTGAGCAGTGCGACAATGCTACTTGTGTGCGGACTGACAAACCTCCTAGCTTATGGTAAATACCGAGGATTACGCCGTGCTCATAAACATAGAGCTGATAAAAGTGCGTGAATCGCCACCGGCGTGAGGGACACTTGCTAAATGTTATGGATGAGGAAGTTATAGTGGAACTCACTGAACTCACGCCGTTACAACTACCAACTTTTGTTAAATTTGAAGCGACCTTGTATTTCTAAGGCATGCTTTCCTCAGACGCCGCGGAGACAGGCCATTCAAGATCATCCTTTGTCTGGTTTACTTCTCAAAGCCAGTGCACAAACTGCGGGGAAGTTGTTTACGCTCAGTCACTCCCAGAACCGACGATGTACTGTTCGGTTGTAGTTGTACGGACCCGGTGATCTACTTGCCAGACTGCGCCTCCGGACTCCAGCCCATTCATGGCCGGACTGCACTTGGCTGGGAGTCACTTGCATATAACTTACATTCTACGCTGGTTGCATCATATTACATTATCTATAACAATCTGGCCTTTCACGCTTTATCATATCTACCAGCTTA